TCAGGGCGGTTCACAGCATATTTAAAAAACAGATACTATACACAAATACAAAAAATACAAAAATACAACAATATAAACCCCAATAAAAACCGAATTAAAAACCAAATATTGACGGCTGTGTTTCCAATTAAAATTGCTTCTAAAATCATCCCTACCTAAAATCCTCCCTAGGTCAGGCCCGCTTGCTGGAAAAGCCATGCTTTTCATACCTTCCACTTTGGGTTTTGAGGGAATTCCTGAAGCGCTTTATAATTAAAGATGGGGGGGGGAGAGAGAGACACTCCAAGATACTGTGTTAAAATCATATGAAACACTATATAAGTGGATTGATTGGACAGGCGGTTTCAGTCGACCAGGACCGAGCATTAAAAAAAACGATAAAAGTAAAATCGGTAATTAAAACCATAAGTTTCAGTGTTAGAAATAATGGTTAAAGAGTCAGTTTTATCTTTAACGAAAAGGCTAGTGATTGACTGTCATCCTTGAGGGAATCTCATGACTTGATGCTGAATGTGAAAAGTATATATTCTCCTGCACAATAGATATGATCTGTAGCCAGAGTTAAAAATACATTATTACTAGGCATGTGCATTTTTCATATTTTAGCATTTGTAGCTGAAAGAAGCCGACTGTGAAATAGTTGAGCAGTTAAAGTAGTAGCTGTTTTGAAATTTAAAGAAATTAAATCTAGATAAGTTGCTCTGCCTGTGATTTTTGCAGTAGCAAAATCATTGAAGATAATCGGTTGGATTTGAAGTGGACTTTTCACAAAGCAAAACATTTATTTCCATTGGTGGAGAGAACTAAGATATATTTGAAAACTGTGTGAAGGAAGCAATGGGATAATTTGTTAATGGTTCTTTATTTCTGCAGTCCCCAATGCTACCTCTCATACAATTCTAAAGAGTTTCAGAGTCTAGAACATTGTGTGTGTATGTGAGAGAGAGATACAAAAATGAACATCCAACAACTGAAAGAAGCTATGATTGACAAGATAGCATGGAGAGTGCTTGCCTATAGTCGCCAAGAGTAGGACATGACTGAATGGTTAAAACTACTACTATTAAAACTACTATTGCTAATAATCAGTTCCTTTGCTTCTTATGCCTTTGCTACTTTTCCTGAGAGATCTAGACAGGAAGCCTGTTTCCCTTCCTGACACCACCAATGCATGTTTTTATTATTTTTTATAGTGAGTATATTCTCTTGAAGTGTTTATTGTTTATGTTTACTTTTTCCAGATGAATTTGAAGTAACCGAAGAGGTCCCAAAAATAGCTCCAAACCCTCCTCAAGTTAACATGCCGGTTGGTCCTGTACCTGTCAAACCAACAGGTACAATATTTCTCAGTTTCATTTATAATAGTGCCTAAAGCTAAATTACAAGGATCGTGCAGTTTGCATACAACAAATTTTTAAATGTTACTTATTTAACTTTTTGTCTTACATATTTCCATTAGAATCATACAGGTAGTCCTCGATCTACGACCATTCATTCAGCAACCATAGAAAATTATAAATGAGTGGGACTAACAATAGGTCTGCAAAATTGCAGTCTTTGCAATATCTCCACAGTCACATGATTGTGATGAATGGCTCATGATTACAATATTGCATCGAGTAGTGATTGCCATGTGCAACTTTCCCTGCCATGTGCAACTTTCCCAGAAGAAAACTCGATGGGGAAGCTGGCAGGAAAGGTCACCAATTGTTCCCATTGATTTTTCTCCAGAGGAGTCCCACTATGGAGCTCCTTGACCAGCAGTGCTCATCTGCTGCCCTTACTGGCCCACTCACGCTCCCCAGTGCCTGCCTGCAGCTCTTGCTTGTCTGCCTGTGATCCTCAGCACCCGCCCATGGCCCTCACCAGCACATCCAGAGCTTTCACCAGGCTCCCCACATTCCATGCGCCCACAGCAACTCCCCCCTCTTATCCTTGTCTAAGACTCCTGCCTCTTCTCACTTAACCCATGTGGCCCTGGGGTCATGACAGTACATGGGATTGCTGTCACTAAGCAGTGCGGTCATGTGGCATTGCACTTTACAACTGCATTGCTTAATGACAACAATCCCAGCAATCTAGTTGCTGTCAACCCAAACTATAAACTGTTTGTTAAACTGATTTGTATAAAGCAAGTTGGATACAGGATTTTTACAGATTAAATACTGGAGTTATTTTTCTGAATCGATTAAAATGAAGAATATGTGCCTTTTAAATAAACAAGGAAAAAGATTCTTTGTAATTTTTTATTATATAGTAACCATTTTTAAAAGATGTAAGTCTTCCATCAGATTTTTGAAACCAGAATAATATTAATGTTCACCGTATAATTTGTCAAATACATATTTTATTTTACAAAATTTATATTTTTTCCTAATTCCAAAGGATTCATGATGGTGTACAGCAATAAAGAAAAACATAACACCTAAATCTAAATCAAAAGAAATAGTAAGCATAAAAGAAAAGCAAAGATAAAACCCATGAGAAGCACCTACAGTGTGTCAACTAGGAATAAAACATTTTTTATAACATTGAGAAAGTTCCCAAAATTTATTTCACACAATTTTATCACAAATATCAATATTATTTTGGTGATAGCAACATTATTTGAAATTCAGTTCAAACCATCAACATATATTTTTTTACTTTGCAAGGAGCTAAGATTTGTATTAGTGACATTAGTTCAAGAATCTGCACAATTCTGATTTTCTGATGTGGTTCTTGGCATTCCCCAATCATATCCTAAATTTGACTTTGCTGTTGTAACAGATTTCATGATTTAGATGAAAAGATTGCATTTTCACTGCTTTTGACACGAGGACAACCATAAGTAAAGCCATAAGCAGCTTTATTCTCTACACATTATTTTATTTATGCATTAGATTTCTATATCATCTTTTCTCCAGGAGTCAATGTGTTTTTTACATAGGGATCTCCTTTCATTTTACTTTCACAACAATTACCTTTTAAGGTAATTTGTGCTGAGTGAGAATGATTGCCTCAAGTCACAAGTCACCTAGTAAGTTTCCATGGCTGAGAGTGATCTCCCCACTCCTGCATGAATATTAACAACTATACTACACTGGCATTTAAAGTCATAATGTAATTTGTATTTTAGCTTAGCATGTTGGGTAAGCTCCACTGTTATTTGTAAACCATGGTTTTGGCTTAGATGTGCTTACATTTTTACAATTAACCAAGGTTAAGCAAATCATGGCTGAGTGGGTGTGGACCATTGTTTTGCAGAGAAACTAATTTCCATTTTTTTTTCTTTTTATAAGAAGAAGAGGGTTTCTTTTTAAAAAGCATGGTTGGTAAGATAGTATAAATTTTGCATCAGGGTTAAACTTGTTTTATCCTTTTTTGGAGTCAAGGATTTAAAAGTTCATTTTCACTTTTTTGCTTAAACATACAAAAAACTCATGCTGTGGATTTTCAGCTAAATTTTTACGATGCAGTTTGGAAAAATTTCCAGTACTGCAAAATTGGGGCTAGAAAGGTTCTGTGTAGTCCACACCTGGCCTATTATGATTCATGCTTAAAAATTCAAAATATCTTCAGGATTGGTAGAAAAAGTGTTTGCTATAGTAATAAGAACTGGTAAATCTATTTTGGGCATTTTGTAAATGAGTTATGGTGCTGGGGTGTTACAAGCTTAATATAAGGGCTTGTAACAAATTCAGACACTGAATGTTCTGTTTGGATAATTATAATGGGTTGCTGTCATGGAATGCTACATATGATAATGTTGACTTTTCTTTTAGGTGGCTTGTGTTTGCTTGGTACATATGAAGACAGCGATGATGAAGACAGCGAGATGACCGAGAAAGCAGCACAATCTGCAGATGCAAATGGAAATAATTCAGCAGACATCGATAGTACTCTGGCTAATTTTCTAGCGGTTAGTAGGAATGTTATTTTGGGTGATTAATTGACAGTCCTTGAACTAGTATAGAACATCAAAAAAAAATTCACAGTAGTACTTTACAACAGGCAAGAAAAGAGAAAAAGCATTTGAGGGATAATGTTTTTAAGCGCTGCCCGAGTGAAGTTCAAACATTTCATACAGCGATTGTACATTTTCTCTTCTAGATTGACATTAAATATATGTCCTTTAAAAATGTCCTCTTCTACTTTTTCAAGGAGATAGATGCAATTACCGCTCCTTCCCAACCTCATGAAGCCACTGTGCCAACTACAGCTCCA